GGGCGTGGGTCAGGGTGGTCCTGGCGCCGGGGCCCTTCTGGCCGACCCTCCGGCCACAGAGGTCATCGGGGCAGCCGTCGCCGCTGCCGGAGCCGCTGCCGTCGTCACCTGGGGAGGAGGGGCGGAGTTCTGGGGCGCCACCCCCCAGCCTCGGCCCTGCGCCGCCCCGAGGCCCCGCCCAGGGGGCCAGCACTGCCCGGTCCTTCTGGGGCTGGAGCTGGACACGCCCAGCAGGTGTCGGGAGTGCCTGGGGCGGGGCGCCAGCCCTTCGTCACGGGGCCCAGGGCCGCGAGGGGCTCCCCGACCCCGCCCGGCCGCCGGGGCTCACTGGCGTCGTGGAAGTCCAGGTCGTCGCCGTCGTAGGCGCTGCGCAGCCGGTTTGTCATGATCTTCAGCTGCATGATCTGCTGGCGGATGGTCATGTCGGGCTTGGTGATGTCCACCTCCACCTCGGGGTTGTTGATCTGGTTGGCCAGGCCGTCGCCCATCACCTCGGGCAGGTACCTGGGGGCCGGGCAGGAGGGGCCGTCACCGCGAAGGGCACCGGCGGGCAGGCCGTCCACACCTCCCAGGTCCGACGGTGGCCTGGGCTCACGGCGGCCGCTCACCCCGGCGGGCGGCTTTGCGCTTCTGTGCCGGGCAGGACCCCGGGGCACCTACCGGCCCACGGCCAGCCCGTTCCAGCAGCGGTCCTCGCTGGCGGAGCTCGCGGCCAGCTTCTCCCTGCACAGCGTCCTGGGGAGGCCGGTCCAGAAGTCCTGGGCGTCCTGGAGCTGCTTCTTGGCCTCGGAGACCTGCGGGGCAGGAGTCAGGCCGCCTGGCCCCGCCCGGCCCTCGCACCCCGCCCAGGGGAGCAGAGGCCGCACCAGCCTGTCCAGGGTCCCGGAGGGCGGCTTCTCCTGCAGCACCGGCTTGTCTCGCTGCGGCTTCTCCTCGGACCCGGGGCCCTGGGGGTTCGCCCTGGGGTGGCCGCAGCCCTGGGCGACCTGGAGGAGACCACAGGGGCCCTGAGGCCTACGCCCCGGAATGCCCCCTTGGGGAGGCCCCGCCCGCTGCGGCGCCCCGCACCTTGGCCATGAGTGTGTCCTTGTTGTCCCGGAGGGTGCTGATGGCCTCTGCCAGCCACAGGTGCACGCTGCCCATGGCACTCTCTGCCCCCGACGGGCCCCAGAACTTGTTGGTGATGAGCTCCATGGAGTCTGCACGGGTGCCCGCGTCAGCGCGGCGGCCGGCTGGCGCACAGCAGCTGCGGCACGGCCAGGCC